CTCATCTTTCTCCCGCGGAGCAGCTGGTAGTTTCGAACTGCTGACCTTGAGGTTCGCAGCCCGATTCGTAACCACTACGCTACCAGAGCTGGTGGCATAGTGGTTACAAATCGGGCTGCTAACCTCAGGGTCAGCAGCTCTTCCGTGGGAGAAAGATGAGGCCTTCTGCTCCTATAAAGATTTACAGCCTCGGAAACCCTGTGTAGGGTTACTATGAGTTGGAACTGACTCCACGGCACATAACAACAACAACATGAGTTGTTTTGGTACCCATCTTGCACAAGCTTTTCAAAACCCAATTTTTTTGGGGAAAAAAATTGAATGGAATTATTTCATAAGCAGAACCATGGCTGATGCTGATGTGCAAATGATTTACCACATAATCCACTGTCATTTGTTTATTCAACAGAATAATTTCACGTGCACACTCAATGTTATCAGCCGCAGACATGGATGGGAATTTTAATATAACCAGAGAGTGGGTAAATTTTGACTCATCCTCGTATTATATTAGATTTCATCATGAAGTTGGCAACTACATCTTGACTGCTAAATCACTGAGAATCCAGACTTAGCCAAGCTGAAACAAAACCTTAACTATCATGCCTGATTTTATGAGTGTTTTGTTTTTGTGATTAGTCTTAGTGGAGTGAATGGACTTTGTATGGGCTCTCTTTCATTGGTGTGCAGTGAATTAAAAGCAAGAACTGAGCAGGAAGGCTGATATTCTGGATGATGACAATGCTTTTTAGAGGAGTGACTGCCGAGACGTTGGGAAATGGCTTCCATGCCCTCTGAACATGAGACTGACATGCACAGATTGTGTAACAGATGCTGGCTTTCTATCATTGTGAGTTCTTAGGATAGCCAAGGAGATGGAAAATCATCCATCAAAAGATAACTTCCATTAAAGTCTTAATGTCAGCTTAGCTAAAACTAAATCCCTGGAACATTTTACTACTGTGCTTGCTGTAAGTTTGAACTGGGTTTCAGAGATCTGAAGTGCCATTAATATTTGGACCAAGTCTATTGTTGCTGTTGTTGTAAGTACCATTAAGTCATTTCCGACTCATAGTGACCCTGTATAGCATTGCTGAGGAACGGCTGATGGATTTGAACTCTTGATCTTGCAGTTAACAGTCCACTGCTTATCCTACAGTTCCATGAGCTCTGTTTTAGGCTCTTCAAAGAAGCTCTTTATCTAAAAATATAAAGGAAAGCTGCAAAAACCCAAGTCTTTTGAAAAGGTTAGCAAATCTGTTAACTGGTTGTGTCAAGTCATGCTATGGTCTCTGGTTTCATAGGGACATTTTCAGTGTTAGAGTCTTTAAGAGCAAATGCCTATCTATTCTTGATAACTCTGGGCTTCCTCCTAGGGTGGATGGGCTGAGGACTATATTTTTAGGCTGTGTCCTCTGGTGTGTCCTTTGCAATGAAGTAATCTCTTATCTCACTGACAACTTGGCTTTTTATAAACATAAGGGAAAAGAAATCCCTTTTTACTTTTCTGCCTCTTCAAATGGTATAACCATTTACCCAGTTATGTATTTATCCTCTTTTAGTCTTTTTTAAAATTTTTAATCAGTCACCGAGTACTGTCAGTTCTACTTTATAATGATCTCTTGAATTTGCCATTTCCTCTTTATAGGCGTTACTCAGCTCTGTTCACTGGTTTTATTGCAGCTGTGTCTCCAAGGCTCTAGCCTTCATGGCTCTCTTCCACCCTGCTGTCACTGGTATAGTCACAAATATTACCATGTCTGCTCACTATTGAAGACCCTTGAGTGTTTTTGCCTACAGAATACAGTTCAGACTCGCTGTCTCTAGCATGATGCATTGTTAAGTACCGTGGAGTTGATTCCGACTCCTAGTGACCCTGCACAGGGCTTCCGAGGCTGTAAATCTTTATGGGAGCGGAACGCCTCATCTTTCTTCCGTGGAACCACTGGTAGTTTCGAATTGCTGACCTTGCGGTTCACAGCCCAATTCGTAACCACTACGCTACTAGAGCTCCTTGCATGTTGTTGTTGTTGTTAAGTGCCATCGAGTCGGTTCTGACCCATAGCGACCCTGTACAGGGTTTCTGAGGGTGTAAATCTTTACGGGAGTAGAAAGCCTCATCTTTTTCCTGCGGAGCGGCTGGTAGTTTCGAACCGCTGACCTTAAGGTTCGCAGCCCGATTCGTAACCACTACGCTACCAGAGCCCTTCAAAATCTTGTTTTTCCCTACTCGTTGGTGCCTTCAGATTGGCCATTTTCCTTTGTTTGGCCAACTCTGCTTGAACTTTCAAGAATTGAGTTTATATAACCCTGCTGTGAAGCCTTTCCAGACAAGGGTCATTGATTGTGTCTGTAAAATCCTGAAGATGTTTGATCCACCTCTGTTTTAGCACTTTCCACATTAATTATTATATTATAATAAGGGATAAAACAGAGAAGTAGTGTATGCTTTAGAAGTCACATAGGCATTGGAATCAATTAAACTTTGACAGTAAATCCTGGCTTTAACATTTACCTATTGTGTGATTTTTATATAAGTTACTCAACCTGTATCAGTATCTACTTTTTTATCTTATGGTGTTGGGATAATTAAATGAGATAATGTGTCTAAGGCATCTCATAATCCCTAGTAGAAACTCCGCATATGATAGTCTTCTACCCTTATTTATCTGGGTTATTTGCTTAAAGCATGTATCATTGTATTAATTGATGGTCAAACCTAGTTTATTCTCTCTAGAAGTGGCTATGATAAATCCAGGCTAGTGTCAGAACTAAACTGGCTATGTGCTGGGCCAGCATAGACTTGGGTATCTATGAAGAGGTAACCATAGAATGGAGGTGTGGAGACTGCTTGGAGAGATGGGAGAGAAGTGTATTTGTGTCAAGAAATTGATACTGCAATTATCTTAAAAAGTTTCTCCATGTCTTTCCATGTTGATGCACCTGAAATACCATCCCATGAAGTGTAACTATATCTTTAAGATACAAGGTACTTAAGGACAGGAAGATAATTATATCCTCTGACTGTCTGTATCCAAACAGAGGGAATAGAGCTTTCTCTTAAAGGAATGACATATTGGAGCGTAAGGGGAGGTCTCATCCTTTGTAAGTGCTGAGGTGAGCCTCCAACAAATTGCAGGTTGGAGATGAGGTACCGAGCAGAGGAGAGAGCTCATAGCAGCATGACCTGCTTCTGAGGGGGCATGGCTGAGCCCTGAGGAAGGGAAAGAATGAATTATGAGCCTACACCAACTAGTTTATCATATCTGAGCTGAGCACTGCCAAACAGAAAGCTTCATGGTTGAGATTCTGGAGATATTAATGTTGTGTAAGTGATTTCAAAATGCCTCTTTTTTTGTGGGGGTGGTTGGTGTTGTTGTTAAGTGCCATCAAGTCAGTTCCAACTCATAGTGACCCTGTATAGGGTTTCTGAGGAACAGCTGCTGAGTTTGAACCACCGACCTTGCAACTCAAACTGACCTTGAGGTCGAGTGCTTTTCCTATGGTGCCAGTAACTATAACATAAGAATTAAGGTTCATAAAAATGAGTATTGCAGTATTGTTACTTTCCTAGAAAATAGATCAATAAACCCAAGGTTTTCAAAAACTAACCTGTTTGTGTGATCGTGTACTCATCATTTACTCCATTTCCTGTTTTGCTTTTTCATTAAGCCCATCATCCTGGAAAGGGCAAATTAAAAATAAGTTGGCAGGGCACGAAGGGACAAAGTGCTAATACTGTCTTGTGCTCCTTCCAGGTGCAGAGTGATCTTCATTTCCCTTCCAGGCCAGCATTCCACCTCCTGTGACCACCATGGTGTATGGTGAGTTTTTTCATCACCCTGGACAAGACGAAGAACTTGTCAACTTGAATGTTGGGGGCTTTAAGCAGTCTGTTGATCAAAGCACCCTCCTGCGCTTTCCTCACACTAGACTTGGGAAGTTGCTTACCTGCCACTCTGAAGAGGCCATTCTAGAGCTGTGTGATGATTACAGTGTGGCTGATAAAGAATACTATTTTGATAGGAACCCCTCCTTGTTCAGATATGTTTTGAATTTTTACTACACGGGGAAGCTGCATGTCATGGAGGAGCTGTGTGTGTTCTCATTCTGCCAGGAGATCGAGTACTGGGGCATCAACGAATTGTTCATTGACACATGCTGTAGTAATCGCTATCAGGAGCGCAAGGAGGACAACCATGAGAAGGATTGGGATCAGAAAAGCAATGATGTGAGCACCGATTCCTCATTCGAAGAATCATCTCTGTTTGAGAAAGATCTGGAGAAGTTTGATGAGCTGCGATTTGGGCAGCTCCGGAAGAAAATCTGGATTAGAATGGAAAACCCTGCATACTGCCTGTCTGCCAAGCTTATCGCCATCACGTCCTTGAGTGTGGTACTAGCATCCATCGTGGCAATGTGTGTTCACAGCATGTCAGAGTTCCAGAATGAGGATGGAGAGGTGGATGACCCTGTGCTGGAAGGTGTGGAGATTGCGTGCATCACTTGGTTTACTGGGGAGCTTGCCATCCGGCTAGTTGCTGCACCATGTCAAAAGAAATTCTGGAAAAACCCTCTGAATATAATTGACTTTGTCTCAATTATTCCCTTCTATGCCACATTGGCTGTAGACACCAAGGAAGAAGAGAGTGAGGACATTGAGAACATGGGCAAGGTGGTCCAGATCCTGAGGCTGATGAGGATTTTCCGAATTCTAAAGCTTGCCCGGCATTCAGTAGGGCTTCGGTCTCTAGGTGCTACGCTGAGACACAGCTACCATGAAGTGGGGCTGCTGCTTCTCTTCCTGTCTGTGGGAATTTCCATCTTTTCTGTGCTTATCTACTCTGTGGAGAAAGATGAGTCTACATCAGGACTCACCAGCATCCCCATTTGCTGGTGGTGGGCCACCATTAGTATGACGACCGTGGGTTATGGAGACACCCACCCAGTTACCTTGGCTGGGAAGCTCATTGCCAGCACATGTATCATTTGTGGCATCTTAGTGGTGGCGCTTCCTATCACCATCATCTTCAATAAGTTTTCCAAGTACTACCAGAAGCAAAAGGACATTGACGTGGATCAGTGCAGTGAGGACCCACCTGAAAAATGCCATGAGTTACCTTACTTTAACATTAGGGATATTTATGCACAGCGGATGCAAGCCTTCATTACCAGTCTGTCTTCTGTTGGAATTGTGGTGAGCGATCCAGAGTCTACAGACGCTTCAAGCATTGACAACATTGAAGACGTATATAGCTCTACATCCTTAGAGAATTGCACAGCCAAATGAGCAGGGACATTTGTGCCTGTATCTTGTGTCCCTTCCTGATATTAGGTTAACACAGCTTTATAAACCACAATGGGTTCATTAAAATCATTTAATTCTCAGGGTGTACCTTTCAGCCATAGTTGGATATTCATTGCTCTAAAACGATAGACTCATCTTTATTTTTCTTAATGCCTTGTTCTGAAATTTATTTTTACAAGAAAGAGTTATAATACAGTTTTGGGAAAAATGGTAAATGGTATTGGGGAGAATTTGCTGCTATGGCTTATGCGTCATTCTGTGTTTGTCATTTACTCACATTGAGCTAACTGTAAATTATGACAAGTAGAATCAAAAGCCCAGCTGATTGAAGACTCTACATGCATGTAAGATCCACAAAATGAGACAGTGCATGTAAATCCATGTTCACATCCTAGACATGGAAATAAGGAGTCTAATAAACTTCCTAATTCAATATGGAGAATGTCTTTGTTGTATGTTTTGTGTCAAAAAGTAAAACTTATTTCAAAATTGGCTTGGAAGAGGAATGCCCTATTTGGAGCACTGAGTATCTTTTTCATTATGTTCTCGATTAAAACTGCACTGTCCAGTTTAATACAGGTACATGTTTAGGACCTACTCAAATTGACATCTGTGACTGAAACCTGTACCCTTACAGTTATAATTCTAGTTTATATTTTGAACTTGATAATTTTTTACTGCTAGGATTAAACCACTAGAATTAAGCCTCATGACTATAAAATTATTTAGATCAGAGTAAACCCACATGCTGAAAGTAAGGGATGCATTCAATGAATGGAAGAAAGGAGAAATACTGTACAAACACACAGATGTGATGCATTATGGCCAGAGGAGTGAAAATTAAATCCCTAAGTAAAGCTATGCCAGCAACTATAAAAGAGCCAACATTGATATGGTAATGTAGAAACCCCTGAAAATGAAAGGAGTAATGCATGCTTACTGTTCAGGGCAATGACAGAGCAATTCTCTCTGGAAGGAATTTGGCTAAAGTCTTAATTTTGGAGATGTACAATAATTCTAACAAGCTGTCATTGCTGACTGCAGTTCTTTCCATGAGGTCTTTCAAATGGAAGATCCACATATATTTATTATCCAACCTTTTATTTTCATAGGTGCATTTCATTGAAGGAAGGCCATTTTCTCTAGGTTATCTGATGAAGATAACTTTTGGACTCATCACTCCTCTTAGCACTTCCATGACTCCTGAGGTGGACTTAACTAAATGTTATATTCACTCTTAAGTCTCAATGTGCTGTACATTCATATAGCTTCACATTAAAAATGTTCCTCCCCCCGCCACCAAAAAAAAATTTCTTTTGCATGCTGGCGTACATTTGCTTTAAGACATAGAATTTGAGATTCTATTTAATTAAATATTTTTTATTTAGTAATGAAGTAACCGACTGCTTTCATGGTATACATAGTAGTAATAGCAATACTAATAGTGTTGTTGTTATGTGCCATCTAATCGATTCTGACTCATAGAGACCGTGTAAAAGGTTTCTTAGGAGCAGTTGATGGATTTGAACTATTGACCTTGTGGTTCAAACCGACAATGCATTCGAATGCTTATCCTACAGTACCATGCCAGGACTCCATAGTAATAGTTGTTGTTGTTGTTAAGTGCTGTCGAGTCGGTTCTGACCCATAGCAACCCTGTATAGGGTTTCCGCGGAGCAGCTAGTGAGTAGTATTAATAATGATAAACAACTACTTATGTAAATTACTTTCCTATATAAACTCATTTACTCCTCATAACATTCCCAGGAGCTCTGGTAGGGTTGTTGTAGTTGTGAAGTGCCGTCGAGTCGGTGCCGACCCATAGCTACCCTGCATAGCGTTTCCGAGGAGCAGCTGGTGAGCTTGAACTACTGACCTTGCAGTTCAAATGGCTTTACAGTCTGGCGCGTTAACCCACAGCGCCACACCAGGACGAATCAGGCTGCTAACCTCAAGGTTGACAGTTCGAAACTATCAGCCGTTCCGCTGGAGAAAGATGAGGCTTCCTGCTCCCATAAAGATTTACAGCCTCGGAAACCCTGTGCAGGGTCACTATGAGTTGGAACCGACTCCACGGTACTTAACAATAATGACAATATAAATTCATTTACTTCTCATAACATTCCCAGGTGCAAGGTTTTATTACTATCCCCATGTTAAGATGAGGAAACTGAGGCAGAGAGGAAATTGGCTTGCCTAAGTTCACATAATAAGTAATGGAGTTGCACTTTGAACTCAGGGTGCCTGGTTCTGGAGCTTGTGCTTTTAGCACTATATCATACTTCCAATTACGGAGTAGATTCAAGGGTACATCCGGCCGGACACAATTCTTCTGAAGGGATAAAGAGCAACAGACTCCATCAGACTTTGAGTTGAGGAGATGCTACCTTATTGACCTTTTCTTTCCTGATCCAGAAAGTGGACACATTTGTTTACTGAGACAGTTTTCTAGAATGCCCCAGAAGCTGAAACAGACTCTGAGGGTCCCTCCTTGAGGAGTGTTTATAGTTCTAAAAAAATTCAGAAACATCTCTATTCTAGTGAGCACTTAAGGTGGAATTTCCAAACAGTAGGTCCTATTACCCTGGCTTTTGCAATTGAAACTGTATTGAAATTAGAATTCTGACAGTAACAAAAATAATAATAGTAAGGCAACACCACCAACAACAAAACCAAAACAAACCAAACCCACTGTCATCGAATCGATTCCAACTCACAGTCTCTTATTAATTCTTATTTCCTTTTGTGTGTGCTTGTCCTGCTCCACAATCCCAGTTCAGGCCTTTTTTTCTAGTTGGAAACAGTTCAGGGCCGGCTGTGGCCATTTGGTTTTAATTGGAAACTGTCTCTTTAAATTTCGAGGAGATCTGTGCGCATGCGTAGTAGAACACTCCGAAGGTGGGGCTGAGGTGCCCACTAGCTCAGGCACCCCTATAGTCACCAGAATGGAGGTGCGCAGACAGCAAGGGACCAATGAACAGCTACCAAAAGAAAAGAATGTCCACACCTTTATCTCTGCGCTTCTGCCAGGCATCGGTGGCCGCTCGGATCCTTCCCCCATTGGTCTCACCCAAGATGGTGGCTCCTGGAGCAGCTGAGCGTTCCGAACTAGAAAGCAATGGATTTCTTGCTTCTGCCACAAATTCCCCCAGCTGTAAGCCTTCCAATTTCTAAATATTCCTTTATATGTGGTTCAGAGTTCTGGGACCATCCCCTGAGCCTGCTTGGTCGGGTATTCTGTGTTGTTGTTGGCGGAACTCTTTAATACACTTCCACCGGATCCGCCATCTTATTTGTTCCTTCTCTTATTAATTATTGGAGAGTAATTTGCCAGGAATCCTGGTATGGTGCTGTAGGATAAGCACTGGACTGCAGGGTCGGTTTGAACCACAGGTCGGTGGTTCAAACCCACCAGCTGCTCCTCAGTAACCCTCTACAGGGTTGCTAGGAGTCGGAACCTACTTGATGGCACTTAGCAACAACAACAACAATTTGTCAGAGTCCTCAGCAATGTGTGGAGTGGGGTGGTTACTTTCATTTGGATTTGGCATTGCCTTCTCACCTTTGCCGTATTCCATGCCTGCCTGCCTGCCATATTCCATGCATGCCTGTGATCCCATATGGTTAGGTATTTGGGTTTTTCTTACTGGAAAGGTTGAATCAGTGACTAAATGCCCACTTGCTGGGAATACTGGTAGAGGGGTTGATTGGGACATGGGACAAAGGAAGACACTGGATAAAGTCAGCTATGACTCTGTGATCATTGAGTTCATTTTAATGGGATCAGATGATTTCAGGGAGTTTTACCTTTTATTCTAAATTATTTTCCTTACTCTATGATCTCTGTTCCACTTTACAATTCTTAAGATTTCTTTTCTATTTTCACAACAGTTCTTTATGGATTTTGGAAGGTCATTGAAACAGCCATTTCCAACATGCTTGATTCCTTCCTTCCTAGCCTTTCTTTCCTGGAGATTGTTTCAATTCAACATTTCTCAAGTGTTTACTATGACATAGGCTTAGGGTTCACACTGGGAGTGGGAAGATGAAGGAGACATGATCTTTGCACTCAGGGAGCCTTCATGCTTGTTAGAGACAGATGCTGTTGTTAAGGGCCATTGCGTCAGTTCTGATTCATAGTGACCCTGTGTAGGGTTTCTGAGGAGTGGCTGATGTGTTTGAGCTGCTGATCTTGCAGTTAGCAGTCTAGTGCTTAGCCTACAGCACTGCACCAAGAGATAGATAAAATCAACTGATAATATGCCCAGGGTGTGAAGGCTATGAGAGGGATGAGCACAAATTGTTGCTGTAAGAGCCCCCAGAAGAGGTACCTAGCTTCTATGTGTGTGTGTGCATTTGTCAGGGAAACTTCCTGGAGGAGGTGACACTTGAATTGAGCATTGGTTTCTGAGATCTTGGTGTGATAGCTAAGGTTTTGTGTCAATTTAGCTGGACCAGGCTTCTCAGTGTTTTAGCAGTTAAGATGTAGTTAGCAGTTCCATGATGAGATCTAGTCTGATGCAGTCACCCAGGATGTGATCAGATTTGTCAGCTCTGACTTGGTATGATTATCCTATGTGTTGCAAATCTTCACTTCTATGATGTTAATGAGACCAGATGCAATCTACAGGATTAGGTTGTATCTTGAGTCAATCTCTTTTGAGATACAAAAGAAGAGAAAAGTGAGCAGAGGGAGAAGGACCTACTCCCACCAACATAGAAGCACTGGGAGTGGAGTGTGTAGCTTGGATGTGAGGTCCTTAGATCCAAGCTCCTAGATCCAGGGGAATATTGATGCCAAGACATGTGGAGAACTCCAAGGAATACTAGGTTTACCGATGTTGAAAGCAGATGCAGACCTTTCTCCAGAGCTGGCACTCTGAATTCAGACTTCTAGCCTCCCAAACTATGAGAGAAAGAATTTCTGGTTGTTTAAGTCACCCACTTGTGGTATTTCTGTTATAACAACACAAGATAACTGTGACACCTGGTGAGTTCATTCAGATACAAGGACAAAACCATTACTGGGAATGGATAGGTGCAAATCTATTGCTTTCTTTACCTCCCAGCTCTGTACAGTGCCAGTCTCCACATCTATGAATTCTCTTTTCTCCCCTTTGCTAATTTCTGTTCTTTAGCAAAAATGTCTGATTGTAACTATGTTGATCTTTTTTCCTGCCCCTGTGGTAAAGGTTTAGATACGCTGATATAGGTAAACTTTGTGTCTTTTTTTTTGCTCTTTCTGTATTTCTTTTTTTTCCCCAGAGATGTTTGATCTTCCAATTATTTATTTATTTATTTTTAATGTTTTATTGTGAAATGTGATAGTCTACATGGGAGAACATCAGCTTTACATTCATTCCATTATCCATCATTTCGTTGGCATATTATCATCCTGTCCATGCATCCTCACCCAACCAAGGGGTGTACCCTGTAAAC